ATTGGCTCATAAGAGTGTTGTTACCATAGAATGAATCCTTCCCAACACGTAAGAATTTAGAAGCTGGTCTGTTTGTGTCATCCTCTCGTCTATTCTATGCATTCCATCTCTCCTCTTCACGCAGATGTGTGAGTATTCCCTGCACCAATTGCAAGAGGTAAAATCATTCTGCTTTTCGTGATTCTTGTGATCTCGTATATGAACACGCAAGGCATCTATTTATATTATTGTAAAAGGTTAAAGTATAAATCTACTTGAAAGTGTCCAGCAAGAAGTACAATTAGTATTCGGGAGACATTATACCGTTTTTAAAAAGTCCGGATAACGTTGCACCATTAAAAACCCCATTATACATAAAAGATAGGTCGGATGGATTATTATTGGCTTTTTGCTAGCTACACTATTCTCTTTCTTTCTTTCTTTTCGTTATTCTGATTAACTCTGTCCTCCACCTGTCTATCTTTTTCAGTCCTGAAGCTAATCAAGCAATCTGTTACTCATTCTTTATGTTAATGCGAGTTGTAGAAGTGAAGAGTTTGGCATAAAATGACATCAACTTGAATGGTGATCGAAGTAGCGCATTATATTGTGGTCACCATATTTTATTCATCAACAAACTTAAACAGATGGAATATCGTTTTTCAGGGTCGGCTTCAGAGAATGATCAAGATTTTCCACCATGTACTGAAGGAAAATGAATCATATACACATGTCAAATTTTCAATAAACTTTATATATTATATTATTTTGAGAACAAGTGTTTCAAAACTTTAAAGACTCATATGATAATTTAAAAAACATAAAAATCAGATTAATAAAAATTAAACTTAAGGAACCGAATCAATAGCTGAGATAAATTTAAGGGATAAAAACTTTTATTATCACATATATATCATTACTTGATTAGTTGAATTGATTGACTCATATGGGATCTTCAGCTCATTGTTTGTGTCCATTGTCTCAATGCACATCTCTTTCTGCGCTGCACATTTCTTCGTGCTTGAAGACAAATTTAAGAATGGAGTGTTCCTTCTTTACGCCGCCACTTGCCTTCCTGTTTCCGTCAATGCAATCGCACAGTTTCGGCTCTACCTGGATCTTTTCAAAGCCATTGTTACCAAGGCTCTCCAATCACATCATTTTGGCCATCTATGGTATGTGTTTATATATATATATATATATATCTCGTGGGGGAATTTCCACCCTTTTAATTTTCATTTAACTCGTGTTTTTGTTTCTGTTTTTGTTTTGGTTTGTTTGTTCCCCTCCCAATTGACTTGAGTTATATTTGGATTGATGGATTTGAATTTAAATTTTATATTTAAAATATCATATTTAAAATTTTTGTTTAGATACTGTAAAAAAATTTAAAGATAAAAGAGAGATGAGCTAAAATTTGAAGCAAAAATGAAAAATTGAGAGTAATGAGTTTATTTATATTTTTTAACTCGTGAGAGATGAGGAAAAAAATTGGGAGGAGTGGTGCAACTAATACATGCACTGATAGTGAAAACTTGAATAAAAGAAGAAGGTTGGAGTTGTGAAATTTTTAAATAACTAAAGTCTAGATGGAATTTGAAATTATAATTACAAATAGTTTGTAATAAAACATGTATTTGGGTTTGGTCAAATCTAAAATCCAAAGATTTTTATGTATTTAAATGATAGAATATTTGGTTTTAAATCTAAATCCAAATTACCATTGATAGCATTTGAACTTAATTTTTCTGATCTTAAATAGTTGCCTTGCGTTCTTTGTGCTTTGCATATGAATAAAACCATCCAGTTAAATATATAAGATCAACCTCGCTGAAATAATGTTTGCGATTCGTCGTTTTTTTTTTTTAAACAATATGTAAAGAAATATTTTATATGCATTGTTTCATGTTACTTTGCAAGACCTAATTAAATATAATAATTTTTTTGCCAGTAATTAAATACAATAATTTGTACTATCAGACTATAACAAGCGTCAAGCGAAACACCTCCAAGTTTACGCTTTACACAATACACACACAAACAGATACGCACGCACACGTGTGATATGAATATCAACTAGTCAACATTAATTGTTCTTAAAATCGCTCAAATTAAATTTATGTAATAAAGCAATTAGGTACTCAAACTAGCTTATATACTTAAAATACTTCATTATTTTTATTTCAACAAAATTAAGATATATGGATTTTTACTGACAATATTTCTATTACCTCTTTTTATTATGTTGTGATTTGATTTGATAAAAATGTAAAGAATGTTCCTCCATCTTCTTCTTTTGATTGCTCATATCTATTATTTTATTGAAGACAATCATATTCAAGACACAGTCGGGTATTAAAATTTTGTTTGGTTTTGTTGTGAGGGTCCAACTTCTTCTACTAGACCAAACTGCCATTGGTCCCTCCATCTTTTTCTAAATTCAAAGGATTAATAATATATTATTTCTTTAAATTAATATTTATTATTTGAAATATATAAAAATATATATTGCAAATGTTCATTTATAAATTATATTTGTTAACCTATAATGGAAGTCTACATCTCTAATTCAAATTTTAACTGAATTGTTGATATTGTGGTTTGGATGTTATCAGTCTTATTATTCTCTTTACGCTTTTAATTTAAATATAATTTTTAATAAGCCTATTTTTAAAATATTAAGTTAAGATACAAAAATATTAAAATTAACAAAAAATAGAATATCTTAATTATAATATCCAGGTTGAAAATTTACTAGACACACTCTTATTCATAATTTTACAAGTATGTACAAAGTAATTAATCTCACGTTCATGAATTTTCCCTATATCTCCCACGATTAACAGAATATATTGCCTATAGTTTTTGCCTTTTAGGATAAAGAAATTAGCTTGATCCAACAAGGGAAGCCAGTATTTTTCTGGTAATTTAAAAAGAAACATGATAAATTGAACGGTCATGAATATGAACAGATTTCATCTAGGAGATTCTGAATGAACAGAAAAGTTTGTCCCTGGGTCCTGTGTAAACTGTAGAAACCTTGGAGGAAAGTCATTGTCCAGCTTACGATTGGTATTCTGTGTATGACATATATATATATATATATATATATATAGTGGCGAAAGCCCCGGGCTTCGCTTCATTCTTGCCTGTCTATATATTTTCTTTGTCTCCTTTTACCTTTCTCACCTTTTGTGTTGATGACTCTTGTTTTAAGATTCTCCCGTCACTATACAAGAAGCAAAGGATATATATACTTACTAGCTTTTGTGACCTTCAATATTTTCTGCTTTTGATCCTTTGATTTTTCTCTCTCCAAAACTTGAAGTTGTACACTTATTCAACTGCATCTTCATGCATCTACTATTACAAAAATAATTTTTAACGTCATTAATTTACATCAATTTTATAAAAAATTGAAGTAAAAAAAAAGAGCGGTGGCAATTTTATAATTTTTTTAAAAGAGTTTTTATATTGGTTTTCTGAAAAACTGATGTGGAAAACTATTTTTTTTAAATTTTTTCTTCTTTTTTCACATTAGTTTCAAAATAATCGATGTGGAATATAGATACTACATCAGTTTTTTCCAAAATGATGTGGTATCTCCATTTAAAATTTGAAAAGTTGCAGACGTGACTCTTCAGATCTAATTTTTCTTAGCTTTTTCAGATCCATAATGTAAATCTTCTCTCATCTCTTTTTCTTTATTTTTACTAAAAGCTACCACCTTTTTCCTCCCTCCGCCATTTGAAGTCCTGTCAGTCACTATTTTGTAGCCGCCTTGCCACCCTTCACTGTCACCGTTTGGGTTTCATGGGTATGCACATTTCATTTCTCTTCCATTTTTTACAGCACTAAAAGAGTAAACATTTCTCCTCCATCTTTATATTTCTCTTTCATTCGAAGTGCTTTTCACATTCCTTTTCTACTCTCTTGGTCATGGTGTGTGGGTTGTCATAGGTGGTATGTTAGTAGCTGTCAGTGTGTGGGTCTTTCATTTATGGTTTCCTCCTTGCTATTTCAATTTAGTGTTGCTCATCTTCCATCCCCCTCTTCCATTAGAGAGATTTTGCTAGCTCTTTGACTGTAAGTTTTTATTTTTATTCATTTTTCTTAATTTTTTTTTGCCTATTGATATTGTGATGGGTTGATTTAATTGAATGTTTGTATAGTTAGATATTTCAATAGATGAATTTATCCTTTCAAATCTTTATTTTAATTCTCAAATTTATACTTCATAATAGTTAATTTAATTGAATATTCTTATATTTGAGTATTTAGATTGTTGGATTGATTTAGTTAACATTATTATTGATCTTGGATTAATTATATATATTTTTATATTTTTTAGTATTCAAACAAATATATATGTGGATATACATATGGATTAACATTTTAGTTATATAGAAAAAATATTATATTAATTTATTTTATAAATATATATTTAATATAATTGTAACGTGTTGCATAATCATTGTGATCTTATGATCACACAAGGCATACATTTATATGTTATAAAAGATTAAAGTATAAATCCACTCTAAAAGTATCCAGCAATAACCGCCACTTATTTGTTTTGAGGTGGCAGATGATGAGAGAAATTGTGCTAGTTGTAATTAAACTTTTTTTTGGGTGCCTTTTTGGGTTTAGATTTTAATAAGTTCTCAGTTTCGATTTTTTTAAAAAAGTATTCTGCAAGAAGTTAAAAAAAAAAAAAATAGGTTACATGGATTTATGACTTTTTTCTAGCTTACGACGTACACTATTTTTCTTTTGTTTTGTTTTTGCTTGCTTGCTTGCTTGTTTGTTTGTTTTTTTTTTTTTTTTTGGTTTCTTTCTTTTCTTCATCAGTTTAACGCTGTCCCCACCTGCAGTCCTATACCATGTCTTTTTTCAGTTCTGAAGCTAATCAAGCAATCTAGTACTCATTAATTATTTATGTTAACGCGTGTTGAAGAAGTGCAGAGTTTGGTATAAAATGACAGCACCCAGATGATGAATGGTGATCGAAACAGCGAACATTGTGGTATCATTTCATCAACAAACTCAAACAAATGGATCCTTTTTCATGGTCAGCTTCAGAGTCAGAGACTGAGAGTCTTCCACTAGTTTCTGAACAGGAAAATGAATTATTATACCAGTCCACATTCAAAGGTGACTGGGAAAAGGTGACCGAGTTATATAAAAAAACACCAGGGGTTCAGAGCACAGTGATCACACCAGTGAGCTCACAAGACACGGCACTGCACGTGGCCATCAGTGATGACAGAGAAGAAGAAGTGAAGAGTATGGTAGAATCAATCGTCAATCACAAGAACGAAAAAGCTCTGATAATGCAGAATGGCAGAGGGGAAACCCCTCTGCATCGTGCAGCCACAAGAAAGTCGGTGACAATGTGTGAGTACATCGTGGAGGCAGGACGGAGAATGCAGACGGATTTACTCAATATTCCTAACAAATGGGGCGAGACACCCATTTTCACAGCGGCTCTTTACAACCGTAAAGCCGCCTTCATCTTCCTCCACAAGGCTGCCATTGACATATGCCAGCACCCAGAAACACTTCTCACAAGAATGGACAGTTCTGGAGATACTGTACTTCATTGTGTCATTAGGAGAGAGCATTTGGGTGAGCATCTCATATATATATATAGGGTTATTTTGATTGACTGCAGGTTCTACAGATGATATAATGAATGAATGGTTATTGGTGTTGCAAATATTATCAAACATATATATGCAGATCTGGCATTCTACGTAATCATAATGTGCCCAGATCTTGCGGGCAGAGCCAATGTGAAGGGAGAGACTCCTCTTCATGTTCTTGCTGGCAAACGTTCTGCCTTTAGAAGTGGCCTGAGCCTATCGTGGTGGAAGGAGATCATATACTACTGTAAGTATAAATACCACTACGCTAGCTAGTATTCTTTCCAGGGGAAAAAAACATAAAATAAGATTAATTGCCAGCTTTGGCCGTATGCATTGCTGATTGATAATTATCGTGTTTTCGACGAAAGGTGTCAATGTCGATCCGCCGAAATATGATCCAGAATGTTGTAGGAAAATTAACGAGAATGCGTGGCGACCGGCCAAGTCATCTGGCAGCCAACGAGGTAAAATTTTCGAACGTCAAAATTTGGACAAACTTTCTGAGATTTTTGTTTGTTAAATTAAATAGCATACAACTCCCCCCCGCTTTTTAATAATGCACTTATTTTTTAAAATTAAATGAAAGTTTGTGCTACACACACACACACACACACACACACACACACACACATATATTGGTTTCATTTTTATTTTGTCAGCTGAATCGTCCTCCAACTTAATTCAATATATTTAAATAAAATGTTTTACTGAAGGCATGCATTTCGATGAAAATTAAAAGTTACATTGAAGTATACATGCTTTGATAATAAAAAGTCAAAACAACATAATTCAACAAACACAAAAGAATTCTTATTTTTAATATACTATTACAAATATTTGGCACTCAAAAGTATAAGAAATCAGCATATTCAAATCAGAGAGGGAATAATTTTCCTTTCACATCTAAACATGCATTCATGATCTGCTGGTGCGCAGGAGAGAAGAATACATGGGATCCTGAGGCCCCAAATAACTCCTATATTAATAAAGATATTCCACAGAATTATACTACCTGTTACCAGGTTTCGGTGTCTGTCTACCAAATTCTGATTCACTTCATGGGATCGGCCGGTATGCTCCTTCAACTTTCATTTCTTGCTTTCTCGTTATAAATATCTAAAACTTATGAGAGGCCACATACTATTTGCAAATTGTAAATAATATATATTCTACTCATTTTATAAGATGTAAATAGTGTGGCTTATGTTATTCTGCGTCATCTTTATACTTGATTCGTGTGAATTTATTTGACAGGGAATAACATAGTTAGCAAAATAAGGGAAGAGAAAGAAAAGCATGCATGTAGTGCTGAGATATTGAGTGCGCTCATGGAAAATGGTAAAGCATACATTGCCACTGCTGAAGGAAGAGGCCCCGGAAGGAGCAAAGTGTTTGATCCGAGAAAGCAAAATCCACCAACGACTGGTGAAGCTCATCAGAATGGTACAATACAATCCATTCGATTTTCAGTTCTTTCAAATCAAAATGCAATATCTTCTGCAGTATTTGATACATGCATGGATGAATATTAGGCACAGTAGGTGCTCATCTTTGACATGAGCAAAATATATTTGAATAATCAATATACATCAATTATAAAAATTTTAATATTAAATTGGACTCCTATCTATCAAAAAAAAAAATTGGACCCTCTAAATTAAATCTCGACCAGATTAAAAAAAATTTATTAAAATTATTTTATAATTTTCATTTTAATAAATATAATATAAAATGATATTTGAAATCTGAACCATTTAAATTTTAATATAAATGATTTAGATCTCATTTTAAGGATGTGCACATGATGAAACTAAACCGCTTGCCAAGTGGTTGAGAGTGGTTCATCACATGTACACATGTCATTTTCACATGAGCCTTCAGACTCTTTATATTGTAATGATTTCCTCACTTTGAATAATTATCTAGACATATCCATTTATCTCTAGGGTCGTTTTTGGCAATAAGATGACTACTTCAAAGGATAATGTTGAGATTTTGACTCAAATTTTTATAATCTTATGTAATTATTTTTATATATTATTTTAGTGTAAATCTATCACATTTCTATTTAATATTTTAAAAAATATTTATTATTATTAAAGATAATATTTTTAGCTGATGAGAAACTCTATATATCTCATCTCTCTATCTCCCATAGCAGAGACCATTATTGAAATTTTTATCTTCTATAGTAAAATTATTCGCTCGTTGTTTGTGGATCTTTTGTCTCTCAAATTTAGGGTTTTTCCACATTAAATATCACGTATCATCTTTTATTACTTTCTCTAACTTTTTTATAATTTTCAATTGTATTACCTTGTTTACTTCTGCTGACTATTTATTCACTTCCTATAACAGATAAGGAGACAGAAATTTATACGCCCTTGTTGGTGGCAGCCAGGGGAGGTGTAGTTGAAGTCGTGAATAAAATTCTAAGCCAATTACCAGTGTCCATCTACGATACCACGTCGAAGGACAAGAATATATTGCAGGTGGCAGTGGAGAACAGGCAACCCTGGGTTATTGAGGCAGTTCGTAAACAAGTCAAAAACAAAAAATTAAAGCTTAATCTTTGGGACGACCTTATTGAATCAGTGGATACTGATGACAACACTATATTGCACTTAGCAGCTCACTATGATGATTCCATGTCTCACCCTTCGCAGGTTCATGGCGTTGCCATGCAGATGCAATGGCAAATAAAGTGGTATGAGGTAACTAATAAACTCGTGCCAGTTTATTATATCCATGTACGTATGTAATTTAATTTAATTACCTACTTTTTGACGATGGAATTTGAATCACAGTATGTGAACTGGTTGTCGCCACAACACTTCCTTTTCCTTACCAACAAAAAAGAAGAAACTCCGGAACAGATCTTCACTAGAGATCATCAAGGTTTAGTCAAAGACAGCAGTGACTGGCTTAAAGACACTTCTGAATCTTGTTCAGTGGTGGCCGCATTGGTTGCCGGAGTTTCCTTTGCAACATCGAGCGCTGTCCCCGGGGGCACCAATGACGAGACTGGTAAACCAACCTTGGAACAACAGCCGGCATTTGAAGTTTTCGCTATCACCGCGCTCATGGGGCTCTGCTTCTCCGTCACTGCACTGATCATGTTCCTTTCCATACTCACCTCTCGAAAACTACCCAGAGATTTTAAGAGAAGTTTGCCGCTGAAGCTTCTTCTGGGCCTGAGCTCGCTGTTCGTGTCCATCGCCTCGATGCTCATATCTTTTTGCGCAGCACATTTCTTCGTGCTTGAGGACAAATTCAAGACAGCAGTGTTCCCTCTTTATGCCGCCACTTGTCTTCCTGTTTCCTTCTACGCAATCCTGCAGTTTCCACTCTACGTGGATCTTTTGAATTCCATTGTTGCAAAGGTTCCCCGACCACACCCTTCTAGCCATATATGATTCTAGCGATTGGTTTGGTATAATATTTATTTGAACCTATATTTTCTGATCTTCAATAATTGCTTTTCCCCCACAGATTGGAAAGCTAGCTGTGTTATTTATTTCTGTCTGTCTATTTGTTAAGGCAGGTCATGAACCTCTCCCGTTGATACATGAGAAACCTCAATGTATGTGATTTGGATTCATACGAGTATACACGTGTCATCTATGCTGTCAATTAAATCAATGACTTTTAGAAGTTTTATGCAACCAGATTCGTGAAACAGGGAAAATAGCCATCATCTAGCGGTCGTCTATTCTATTTTTCGCATGAAATTCAGAACTTCCTTAAACATCCATCTTATATGCCGTCTGCTGCCTTGCTATTATCATTATATGGAATGTGAAAATATAAAGTGATGACTTGGCAAAGCTTGTTACAAGGAATCATTGGGTAGAAGGAATGCGTGATTGGTGTGAGCAACCTTTCCGCAATAAAGAAGAACAATCATCGATCTCAAACAAGGATTGATGAGAGGAATAGAAAATTAACCAAAAACCCAAGTGATCAGTAAACCCTGCATATCGAGAACTTCATGTCTCTCTGGTCCCCCTTGATATGAAAAATAATGTTTTTACAATATATTGATATATTGATGATTAAAACATTGATGTTGATTTAAATCTCTCTCACATACATACTCCCCACTTATTATCATAAGGCAATTTTAGCTAATTTAATTGACACAGAATTTAATCAATTAATGTCTTTTAAAAATATTATTAGCTCCCCAAATATACCATTTATTAATTCCTGTCGACTCAAGGAGGCGGAACCAATGTGGATTTGGAAGGGGGGCCAATTTTTTTAAAACAGGTACGTTGGTTTATAGTTTTTAAATTTTTAAAAGTAATCTTATCATCTGAAAAAAAATCATAAGATAATACCTAGAATTATAAAAAATAAAAATAAAATATTTAAATAAATATTTAGATTTATTAAAACATTAATTTAAATTTTAATATAATTAAAAAAACATAAACCAACGCTATGAGCAATTTAAATAATAAAAAATAAACTTATTCAAAAAATTTTAAATAAATTTATTTTATACTTCTCCGACCTACAATATAAGTAACTAATACATAGTTTTAAAAAAAATTATTGAAAACTTATAATATTTTAAAAATATTTTCATCTTTTCAACTGGATGCTTTATATAAATATTTTAATAATGACATTGATATTCACATATATCATTTTTTTTAAAATAAAAAATATAAATAAAGCAAGGATATAGTTGAAAAACAGAACAAGGAAGAATTACTGTGAGATCCCATCCAATTAATTCAATATCCTCAAATCTGATAAAATGTATAAATTGCCACTAAATCCCAATTCCTATGCAACTATAATAATACCCTCAAATTAAGTTTTTTAAAAAATATATCGTCCATCCATCACAGTCGCCGGAGACCTCTTGGCCACCTATACTTGTTGATAATTCTTTTTCCTTAAAACCCTTAAATACTTTTTTAATTGCAAAGATTCAAACTCCACAGTGAGCTCCATTAATTTTATCTATATGGCTTAAAAATTTAAGCGTACCCATTAGTGTATGTTAAATCTCATGGCTCAAGAAATACTTCACAATTAATGTTTTTTGCAACAGTTATAATTTCCTCATAAAATGACAAAAAACTCAAGTAATATATAATAAATTAAATTAAACTCAATTAAAAATTGATAAAATTAAACCATGTCAAAAATATGAAAATAAAACATTAAAAAATTAAGCCCAAAATTCTTCAATTAATTCAAAAATATAATATTCTTTAAAATTGGCTAATAATTCAAATAATATCTAATAAATTCAAATTAGACAAAAATTATCATTAAAATGCATGAAAAATGTTGATTAAAATATATGAAAATTATGATTAATCAGTGGATTAACAAGCTCTACTAGACATGGCATGTATGTAACTTAATTGCTTTGCTTTGCAAAAAAAAAAAAGAAAAAGAAATAGAAGGCATAAATATTAATAGAACATACTGCAAGGATGCCTGTCCGTTCAACAAGTCACATAATAATTGAAACTAGAAGTCTCACATCGGCTAAATAAGGATGAGAAGAGAAGCGATGAGTATATTTAAAAAAAAAGGATAAAAGGATAAAAATATTCATAAAGTAATTGGTTAAGGACATCTAGTATCCTAAAGTGAGGAAAAGGTAAAAATACCCATAACGTTACATGGATGGATATAAAAATGATCAAATCATTAATTTTGACCGTCAAATGCTGAATGTGCATGCCACATATCAGTCTTTGTTAATATGTACTAATAAAGGGGCAAAAATACCTACGAAGTCATCGGGCAGGAGCAAAAGTACTCACAAAGTCGTTGGCTAAGAGCAAAAATATCTATAACATTTTTATAGTTGGTACAAAAGTAACTAATTCATCAAATCCCTTAAATGTTGATTATTTAGCTAATACTTAAGTAGTAGTTGACTATTTTTTCACTGAGGTAAACAAAAAATATTTTCAAATAAATTTTTATAAATGTTAATTGATCATCATATAAGTACCTATAATATTACTTTAGTAGGTGCAATAGTGACCATGTCACATAGTTTCTTTCCACTACAATGTATCTTGCTCCCTTCCTTTCTCCCTCTCCACTTATTTTTCTTATTTGCAAAACCTAAGATTCAACATAGTGAGATAGGTTGTACATAATCAAATATCGAGACTAAGCAAACCTCCTACATCGCCCTACCTTAAGAATATTGTCACAACCTTAAGTAATTTTATTAATGATAGGTTTAAAATTTTTAAATGATTTTCACCACTACTACAAAGAAACAAGCGATTTAATTTGATATTTAGTCAAAATGATATTTTGTCACATGATATTCGTGCAATGACTGATTAATCTCTAGAAAATTTTATCTGAGAATATTTTTTATCCATATCAGTGAAAAAATGGTCAACTTTTTGCTTAGGTGTCAGCTAAATGGTTAACATTTAAGGGATTTGATTGATTGGTCACTTTCACACTAACTCTGAAAATGTTATGGGTATTTTTGTTTCTGGCCAACGACTTCATAAGTATTTTTGTTCCTAGCCGATGATTTTGTGGGTATTTTTGCTCCTTTATTAGTCCACATAAGCAAAGACTAACATGTGGCTTACACAGTCAGGATTTAATGACCAAAATTAATGGTGTTAGGTTAAAGTTAATGGTTTAGTCACTTTTGCATTCACCCATGTAACGTTATGGGTATTTTTGCCCTTTTTCTCACTTTAAGATACTAGGTGCCCCTAACTAACTACTTTATTAGTATTTTTGCCCATTTACCCCTAAAAAAAAAAAGGAGGATGACATATGATAGAAATCACATAACCATGATTAATGATTCATCCAAATTGGTTGATTTTATTGATTATGGAGATTGATTTTGATTATCAATAGGATACCAAATATTATTAGAGGGTTTTGTCTTTCTTATAACTATAGCTCTAAAATTTTTTTAAAATAATTAATTCAACCATGTTAAAAAGTTATCTATCATAGTAAACAAAAGTAATAAGCTAATCCTATACATATATTTTTTAAAAAACAATTCCGTAACTTAAAACACTACCATAATAAAAAATGATAAAACATAGTTTTATTAAATATTTCACATTTTAAAATGACTATCATGATAAAAAAATTAAGATAGATAAATAAGTACTATTATGATAAGTAGAATTTAAACTCCTTAAATTGTCATTTTTAAAATTTGGGATCCCAAGTATTAAAAAAATATAAAATAAATATTAAAGGCCTAAAAGATATCTTTTAAAATTGAGAACATGATAAATAAAATAAAACAAGAAAAATAGAAATAATTATGCATTTTAAAATTTTATAACCACCTAACAACTTTTTCAAACAATACAAAACAATGTTCGACACTACTAATATGTATATACAACTATAGTTGGGTTACAATCTCTCAACACAATTCATATCAATAAATACAATATAAAAAGTATCTAATAATTGTTTTAGGCTTGCACAATATAACATCTCAGATAAATTTTAACTTCCTACATGCCATTAGGCCAAAATTTTATTTTTTCAATCTTGTGCTCCCAACAAGTACAAACCACAACCAAAATAGACAACTTAATTAATTTTCAAAATAAGCCCCATAATCATGCCATGTCAAACTATCCAAACACTAGTACAAAAAGCATTTTTTACCATAGTTAAAACACATTTTTTCGCGACAGAAAAAGCTTTGTAGTAAAAAATTATGTGGTAGTAAATAGACATTTTTCATCATAGGTCAAGCGGAACTGTGGCGAAAGATATCATTTTTCGCCACAAATCTAAGCTCACCTGTGGCGAAAAATACAATGGTAAAAAATATCATTTTTTGCTACAGGTTTCAGCTCAACTGTGGCCAAAAATGATATTTTTTGCCACAGTTCCCAGCTCACCTGTGGTGAAAAATATAGTGGTAAAACATATCATTTTTCACCATAGGCTCACCTGTGGTGAAAATGGCGAAAAATAGTATCTTTCGCCACAGGTCCGAGCTCACCTGTGGCAAAAGATGCGTTTAGAGATTCATATATGGTGACAGTTGTTTCTATAACTATCGCCATATATCATCTTTTACCACAATCATAGTGATAACTGTGACTGTAAATATTATATTATTTTAATAGATTCACAAATAAATATATACATCCTTTAATTACAAAACCTGCATTAATACATAAATAACAATTCCAAACACCAGTACAAATATATCTAGTACAAATATATGAACTAAAAGTCTACATTTTTAATACAAATATTTAGAAAGTTTCTACTCTAATCCTGTTAATTCTAAGAAAAATCTAGACCACATATTGCGAATATGTCTTAACTCTTACTTAGAATATGGCTCTAAACTTTGAAAGTGCTGCAAATTAAATAGCAATATATGTATGAATAATAACTTAAGTATACAACAAACATCATAATTATAAATTATTATTAACTAATTATTACCTGATCAAATGAGTGAGTGATACCTTGAGTGATGATTTCATACATGAAAATCATCACATAATAACCTCATTCTACACTTCCTGATTGTTGAGGACAATATGAAGAAAATAAAAATAATTAAATTTATTATATCAATACTATAATCTT